GATGGACCTGGCCGGATGCTGCCAATGATGATAATTACAGGGAGGTTTAAACTGGGGTTCTGGCTGAGCATAACTGTCAGCACACAAGGTTATCTAAATATTCCTTTAGTAGAGGGGAAATGGTGCCCAGTAAATGATGGGAAAGCTACAACAGCACACAAGAAACTCATAGCAGGAAACAGCTGATAATCAAAAGCCAAATATCATGAAGGTTCCTTGAGCTTCAGTTTGACCTCTGGAAGGCCCTTGGCATCTTCCAGGTATTAGCTTTGTCATAATCAGCCAAAATCCTACTTTGTATATTTTTGCAGCTTGTAGCACCACAGCAGATGTGGTTTTAATAAAATATATATATATATATATATATATATATATATATATATATGAAGGATAAGTCCCTGTTTGTGACTTCATTTCTCAGAAATGGAGTCAACAGCTGGAGTGGAAAATAATATATCCTTAAAATAAAAGGTTAGCTGGACATAGTGGCACACAACTTTAATCCTAGCACTTGGGAGGCAGAGGCAGGTGGATCTCTGTAAATTCAAGGCCAGCCTGTTCTACATAGTGAATTCTAAGCCAGCCAGGGCTGCACAGTGAGACCCTGTCTCAAAACAGGACAAAACAGCAAACCCCACATTTTTAAAAGAATAAAAAAAAATGATGTGCTGTTTGAACAGTGGAGACTGAGGTATATTCCTTCCCATATTCTGTTCAGAATATGAGCTCGATATTCCTTTTATGAAGGAGCAAGGTCTGCGTCCCCTCTTATCTGGGTATGCGGTGGTGTTCTTGCAGTCAGCCAAGAGGTTTTTTCAGAAAAGGTGATGCAGCTTCTGCCCACAGCCTGGAATACTTGTCCTGGAGTCCTGAATGCTCTGACAGCTGCCTTATACTCCAAGGCCAAAGTATGAAACGGAGGCCACAGGTGGCCCACATCTGTCAAAGCTCTGCAACTATCATCAGGGAGGGGAGCAAGGCCTGGGGGGCAGGGCAGGGGCAGAGAAGATGCCAGCCTACTTGAGGAGCTCCAGCTAGGAGGCATTGGCCCTCCATCAGGGATGTTTCAAGTACACTGTTTTGTTTTTGTTTTTTCTCTTTAGCTTTTTGTTTGCTCTTTGGCTATCTGTGCTAGGGATGGAACCATGACCTCCTGTCTGCTAGGGTAGTGCTCCACCACTGGGCTGCACCCAACCCCAAATGCTGTTATTTCAAACCACCAAGTTGTGAGGTGACTTAATGTACTGAAATGTTTCCTAGAAATAGATGAGAGTGATTTAAAGCAGTTGGGTCAATGAAGTTTCCTTAGTTATGAATAAGAAAAATGGACTGGAGTGCAAAGTCATTTTCAGTTATGTAGTGAGTTAGAGGCCAGCCTGGGCTGCAGGAGATCCTGTCTCAGAAAATGAAAAAAGAAAAGAAAGCAGAAAGGTCTTGCTTGTCGCTCAGGCTAGCATTAAATGCCTAGAGTCTTCTGTCTCAGCCTCAGGAGTTGCATGAGTTATGTGCCCAGCTGTGATTTGCATTTTTGAGAGGTAACTTCTAAGGACAGAGTCACTTCATTCAGCTGAGTTGTCTCGGCTAGAAGAATGAGCAAGGCAGAGTAAGCACACATCTGCTGTGAGTAGTCTGAGACTCTACAGAGGCTGAGCCACAGACACCGCAGAGTTCATGGCCGAGGCTCAGCAAAGACAGCCCAGGGGCAAAGGTGATTCCCACTGCAGCATGGTACTCTGGGAACAACCTAGTGTGGATGCTGCTTATTATTTTCTGTGGTATTGAGGAGCCAGTGAGATTCCAGTGGCCAGTAGTGTATGGTGATGGGCCTGCTTAGAGTTCTTTGTCTCTCACAGTAACAACTACAATAAATACACACACACACACACACACACACACACACACACACACACACACGTGTTTAAAAATACATGAAGCCACACACATTTAAATTTTAAAATAATAAGAATGAGAAATATTTAAAAGAATATGAGCTCATCTCTTCAATATAATGTAGGTAAAAATAAAACCTTTGATAAGCCTCTGAGTTTTCAAGACTGCCACCTTCCAGGGCTGGAGAGATGACAGCATTTAAGAGCATTGGCTGCTCTTCCAGAGGACCTGGGTTTGATTCTCTGTGCTTACAGGGTGGCTCACAACCATCTGTGACTTTGGTTCTAACAGATCTAACACCCTCTTCTGGTCTCTGTGTGTACTCCATGGTTGTGGTGCACACACACCAGCAGGCAACACCCATACACTAATAAACAAACAAACAAGCAAGCCTGCCTCTTTCCTCCAAAGTTCTTTATTTACTATCAGGGTTGCTAAGGGTTGACAAAAGGGTTGGGTAACAATGTCTGGATTATATAAGGAAGAACAGCTGGGAGGAAGGGCAGCCCAGCTCCTGAGTTAGAGAAGTTTAGGGTAGGGTGTGCCAGCCATACTCTGTATCAGGCAGGGACTGAGGGATGCTGGGAGAACCTGGCAGCCAGGTCCACTTTGATATGTTAAACAGACACCTTGGTTTGCCATTTGTCTCAGATTTGAGACTTCACACACACACACACACACACACACACACACACACACACACACACTGTTTTCAGTTCACAGCAAAACTGAATGGAAAGTACTAAGAGTCCCTGTGTACCTTCTGTCCCCATTAAGATACAACCTCCCCCACAGTCAACATCCTGCTCCACAGTGTTACATGAACACATCATTACCAACAAGGCCCTGGTTAACTTCTTTTTTTTTTTTTTTTTTTTTTTTTTTTT